GTCTATCACCCTAAAAGAGCGAGGAACTTGTTAGTTAGAGATTTAACATTTAGTGAGCACTCAAGCGAAGCTGATCGAAGCGATGCGTTTGCTCGTGAAACGCAATTCAGAGAAACACATGTAATACAATTTTCCTGGATCATGTACATAAATATTAGTGTTCATTTATGGCAGTTTATGCAATTGTCGTAGTCGGGCACTGCCGCCTAGATCCTATTTCCTTTCTTTTTAGTTAAATTTGTATGACTGGGTGTCCATTATTTGTTGGGTATTTCGAGCTTTAGCTATAGCCGCCTGGCCTGTCACCTACCCCACATTCGCCCCTGTCCATGTCCCCTCTTGCTTCTCCTGCCACTTGCTCGTACGTAGCACGCTTGTCCAGCCTATTGGCCAGTTAGTTGCTGACGTTGCTCGGCGTAAAATCGCATAACAAATGATGTTTAATGCTGTGGCTGATGAAGCTGAAAAGGCCCCAAACGCATTCCATGTGGCCAAACATGCGTGCAAATGGAATGCCTTTTTGCAGGCATTTTCTACGCGCAGCTCCCGCGCACCCCCGAAACACAGTTTGTTCTTCCTCTTTTTTTTTTGGGCAAAACCTTGTTGAAGAAAACACGCTGCTCATTTGGCTTGATAATTTATTTTCGCATATTAATTTTGGCTCGACTTGTGCGAGCGATATAGTGGGCAATGCACAGACGGTGAGAGAGAAAGAGAGAAGGGGAAAGAAAGGCAAATGAGAAATGTGTGATAAATGAGAGACGCTTAAATGCTCAGGAATACGAGTACTGCCCGCCACAGGCAGGCGGCAGGCGGTAGACGGGCAGGCAGTCAGAGGGCAGAGCACTGAAAATGATTATCCTGCACAGCACACACTCACACTCAGGCACGCACCCCCACATACACATTTAGGATATGAGTGTTTAAGAATTCGAGCATTAATATGGTATCAACATACAATGTTGCACTCTACAATTGTGTACTCAAATCAGGAATTAATACAGACTTAAATTTGTATATCAAGGGCCAACAAATTTTAAAATATTTTTACCGTGTAAAGCCTAAAGCTATTTCAGCTCTATTTTTCAGCATAGAGTTTTTCTCCAAGTGTATTTATATTTATTCCAAAACATTTCGTCGCTTTTCGGCTTAATTGTTTTCCGAGTGCCTGCGGATTTTGAGCGTAATATATAATACATTCTATTTCTATATTCATATACTAGCATGACAGATAAGTCGTATGGACATTGTTTTGCTTGAAAATGTTGCATTTATCAGGCTTAGGCCTTTGATGCTCGACAACAGGCTCCTCATAATTAATGAGCTCTCAAACTGCGCCATTAGGCCAGGAGCTGAACTGTGTCTGGTCTTAGCACGTGCTTGAGGTCAAACATAGTATAATGCCGAGCTGATGTACTTGTCGCTTAAAAGCAATCATCTGAGAGTTATATTGGGAACAGGGAGCCATGTGCACATATATTGTAAAATAAATACATATGTATATATTAAGAGAGGGCTATGCGACAGATAGAGGATGCAATTTTCAATTTCAACCTAATTATTTTACTCTAGTCCAGGTTCGTCTTTGCACATGCCTAAGTAAACACTCGCTCAGTCATCTCATTCACAGAGACTACCTCAAATATGCTTGGTTTATTTGAATTTCCTTTATTCTCGAACCTCTTATTAGCCAGCACAATGGCGGACAAATGTAACAGCTCTTAACTGTTCCCAATTTCCGTTTGGATCAGTGGACGAGTTTTTCATTTTAATGGGCCGTGTTTGCTGATGCTTGACAGCATTTTGTCAATTGGAATTTCACATATATAAGTACTATGTATGTATATATGTATATTGTCATCAAATTGCCTTTCGGCAATGCTCAATCGAAATTCGAGAGAAATCGAAATTTAACTTTGAAACCTTGTGCTTTTTGAAACGTGAAACTCGCCAATTATAGGGTGCAAAAAGCCATGAATAATATGTGTGTAAATCATTGTTTGGGCCAGGCCAAGTGTACGGGGTGTGGCAGAGGCAGAGGTAGGGCCAGGGTAAGGGTGTGAAAATGTTATAAGGTGCTTGTTGTAAGCGCTGCAAGTGCTTTAAATGGCTCTTGCATCAAGTGCAACAGCTGCTGCCGCCGCTGTTTATTCAACGTCATCAGCATTATAGTGATGATGAGCTACATCATTATCAGCTTCATCATCATTGTCTTCTTCATAAGATTCCTTAGCTGTTTGTCCCCGGCATACATTTTCAAGCGTTTTGTTGATGCATGTGTGTGTGTGTGTGTGTGTGTTTGTATTTGTGTTTGTGTGTGGCACGCACTCATTTACAGACTTCGTTTGCATAATAATTTCACTCATTACATTTAGTTGCGCTGCAAGCAGCCCACCGCCCTCTTCCACTCCAACTAAATATGCAGCAGATACATTTATTTGCCAGACGTTGCTGGAGGATTTATGCTTCGCATGTGCCAGCATGTGGCAATTCTTAAGCCAACTATGAGGTCAAGATGCGGCAGCATACCCACTCACACAACACACACACACACATTCGCACAAACACACACACAGACTACCATTAAGTCTGAACGGTTTGTGTGCTGCAGTTTCTTAAACGTTTTCATCATTTTACCCTCTACCCCTTGCACATTTGCAAATGAGGGTATTCTGGGTTTCGTAAATTGATGTAAAGCACAAGAGAAAAGCCTTTTCCGCTTTCTTTAAAAGTATGTTAATCAGCGCCGTCCTTCTCATAATGTAATCATCTTCATCTTAAGGCTGTAAGACTAAGCTGAATATTAATATACGTGTTGCACTTCAGCTGTAATGGTATATAGGAATAGATAGTCGATCACTCTCATGTAGAGTTCCGCTGTTGATATTCGTCTCTCTAGTACTCATCAATTACATAATGTCAATTGTCCGTTCGCAGTTTAATTGATTTGCCAACTTTGGTGACTCGAACTTCTTTTCCATTGAAGCCATTCAAATTGCAATTTGCATACCCGGAGCTGGGCCCACTGTGCGAACTTTGTGCGCAGCATGAACTTTGCGGCTTCTAACGAGCCACATAAAATGTTCCGCATGCCGCATGTCGCATGCCGAATGCCGCATGCCACTTACCACTTTCAAGCCAAGTTCAAAGTGTTGCAGAAAACTTTTGCCTCGCTCAATGTTGTTGCTCGGTTTTGGGCCAGAAGTTGCTTTCCAAATTTTTCTCTTTACCAGTTTGTCGAATTACAAAAATGCAAATTCTTATTTGGCAATGGATTTGGCGAATTGCCTACGTATATATATGTATATATATTTGATTGCTGCTAAATATTGCCTAGTTATAGCTAGATAGAATCATTGTTATGTGAATAATGTGTGGTTTTAGTTTCAGATTGTTGTCTGTATTTTCTTGTTTAAGGCTTAGAAATCCTATTCTTTCCAGAACATTTAACAATCCGTTTTTCGGCTTAGCTTGGCATGAATCGAAGGCCCAGAACAAGTGCCAGTTCTCAGTTGTTTGTTTGTTATTGAATAAACATAGTTGCATGTTCAACTCCACCTTTGCCTAATAGCTCATGTTAATCACATGAGCCAAGCACAACATTCCTTAAGTAAAGCCCTTAAATGCTTTTATTAAATAATCTCCTTATGGCTGCTCGATAATGTACATTCCAATGTATGTATGTATATGTATTTGTGTGCTGCTCAAGTTGCGAGCATTCAGGAGGACTGGTCCGGCATTTCAGCTTCTGTTTCGTTTATTTAATAAATAGCCGACTTTATTCGCAGTCCGTAGTGTCTGTCCGATTCTAAGCTGTCTCTGCAGGAATGCATTTACCGTCGTTCACTTGAACGTCATCTATTTTTATGCGCCATCCTTTTCGCCTTTATAGAACTTTCCATTCCATTCTCGCTGCTCTTTAATCTCGGAACTCAAAGCTAGGAGCTAGATGCTTGGAGCGTGGAGTGTTGCGCCCATTCCCATTCCCAGTTCCAGTTCCTGCCTTGTGGCGCGTTTCCTTTGCAGTTCTTGGATGCAACAGCAATTCACTTAACTTACTCAAGTCGTTGTCGGCATAACTTCCTCACCTCTCTTTCTCTCTATCTCCCTCTCCTTTGCCACTCTCCTTCTGCCTAGCGATGCTCAAAAAGAAAAAAAGAGTGGAATCAGAGAGCTTAAATCCAAGCAGGATAGTCATCCCACACGCTGAGCTCGGCGCTTAGTGTTTTAATGCCAATGCGAACACACATTTTATACAATTTCTTTTATGTACGACAGTGTATACATTTCGAAATCCGTTGGTTCATGCATTTGTACGCTTTATTTAACCATGAAGAGCGGATTGCCAGTGGATCGGGCGTAATTGTGTGGGTTGAGATACTGCCAACTCTAATAAGGGTCGCACAGCAAAAAAAAAAAAAAAAAAATGTAAAAGTAAAAAGTAAAATAAAAACTATTTACAGCTGGCATATGAGACTGCAAATCTATGCCAATGATGCGAAAATGTCTGCAAACTCGCAGCGAAAATAAAAAACGGATTACAGGCGAGCCTCTTGAGACAGACAGTCTCAAAACTTTTCGCACTGCAATAGATTTTGTTTGCTTGAAGTAGAGCAAACTTCTGCTCTGAGTACTTAATGCCCGAACAGCTTTCAGCTACTAAGTATCATTGTCTGCCTTGTACACATTGCTGATTTATTGATTGATTGATGAGACGACCTAAATACGGAGATTTATTATCTATGTCTTTTAAATTATTTGCAATTATAACTTTAATTAATAATAATAGTTATTATTGTTAAAATGGCTTTCATTACAAATTGATTACAGATCATGTATTTTGGTCAATTTCAATGAATATCTATTGAATATACTCAAGAACGAATATACTTTCAGCTTGGTCAATGAACTCACATTACAATAACTGAGAGACTCATTTTGTATGCTTGCTTAAATATTTAAGTCAAATTTCATAATTTAAAAAAATCATTCACAATTATTTACATTTTTACCAAACAATAAAGCAATATATATACATATATATGTACATATTTGATACATATACACAAGAATGGAAATACTTTCGTCTTTCGCACTTCAAATAACCTGTTAGCAATTTCGTTCTTATGGAAATCGTTTAGCACATGCAATGCTAACTCTTTTCTAATAGCCCAAAAGCCCTTTGTAGCTGCTTTATGGGCTTTAGTGAAATTGTTTATAAGTAGACCAACAGCCAGCCAGTTAAACGACTTACAATTTCTCAAGTAGTTGTTAATTGATCTGATTTGAGTGCTTGCCACCTCGCCTCTCTCGCGTTACAAAGAAAGTGAGTGTTTGGTGCGAGAATTCTTGGACTCTGCTGCTGGCTCAGTTGTTCTTTGGATCTGCAGCCGTAAAGAGACTTTGATGCCATGCTGACAGCAATTGCCGTTTTGTACTTGATAGGCGTGGCAGTGGCCAGCAGCAGCAGCAGGAGCAGCAGCTTAAGTAGCTCTCCCGTTAATCATCTACAGCGGTTCAGCAGATCTCTGCTCTTTCCAGCAACCGCCCCAACGCGTGTGCAGTTCATTGGCGGCATTGGCATTCCTGTGGAGGACTTACCCTTTGAGTCCGTTACGTCGGGCTATGTGCTGAAGACGGAATACTTTCTGCCCACCACAGCCGAGGAGATCACCAGAGTTTACCTCAAGCCGCAGCCCATAACAGGCAGAGATCATGTGGGTCATATGGAAGAAGCATCCGGCATGGGCTCCATGTATCGCTGGGTCATCTATCGAGGCATCGAGACGGTTTTACAGAACATAAAGCTACCTGGACGCAGCTGCCTCCTGCGCGTCATTTGCGAACATGCCGCGCTGCCCTTGACTCATGAAAGTGGATTACTGGGTGAGCTGCTGCACATAGTGCTGACTCCATCGAGCTCCTTGGACCACTACGCCCTGCACACCGATCGAGAGTACTTGGTTGCGGAACGCTTTGGCAAACGTGGCGGCAGCTGCGAATCTGCCTATGGACACAAATGCCCGAGCTCTCCCATGGGACTGATCACCGTGTTACTCTGAGTTATTAGTACTATAGGACGATTGTGATCAATTTTCATTATCAGTTGCTACCAACTAGACAATATTCATGCACGGTGCAAAAACAGTGGAATCATTATATATATTTATATATACACTTATATGAATCTTATTTTTGCAACTCAATATAATTTATTTGTTTAATTTTGAGCTACTAACTGTGAAGATCTGTAAATAAAAACTTTTCCCGATTTTCCACGCCCCCAGTAGATAATCAATTTATTTTTTTCCCATTAGATTAATGTAATAATACTCTTGCGGTCCATCTGTCCTTATGAAACTATTTCGGCGCTATCGACGCTAGAAAATTTTCAAAATTTCAAAATTTCTGAATTGTGTCATCTCAAAGAATAAACAATATTGCTGATATATTTACGCCCATTGGGTGGTAAATTTCCAAAATTTTTATTTTCTACAATTTAATTTCTATAACGCTGAATGTCGGGACATACTATTAAGATAGACGAAAATCATACCTGGAAAATCAGTCAAAGAATCATACTCACATTTCGTTTCTATTTTTTCTTGAGCACCTTGAGTTGAACTATTCGTGTGACGTTCTTTAAACGAACATCATTTAGGAAGCGATACGATTGGCAAACGCAAATAACTGTAATGTAAGTGCAAAATACAATCACACAGTCGTGATTCTTCTCCACTTAAGTACGGAATCGATATGTTTAGCGAACATACACTAGCCAAACCGGGAACAACTGAAGCGAAAGAGAACACAAAAAACAAAAACAGGATATATAAAAAAAAAAAAAAAAAAAAACGATTGCAACCCGAATGCGATCGAACTTATTGAAGAACTGATGAAATCGGTTGCTCCCCGAGCCTATGCTCAGAGTGTCAGTGATAGAGGAGTGAGAAGCGGCAAGTATTTATATGCGAGGTCCAATTGTGCAATTTTTAGAGCATTGTCGGTGATAGAGACTTCAATGGTTGAGGAGCAGACTTGAATTTAACGCCATAAAGAACGTGTAAATACCCACTACAGGCGTGGCAACCAACAAGGCAACAAGGTTCGTAGAACCCAACTGCAAAGTATTATTATCATATTGATGTTGGCCAAAAACTATTAAGCTGAAGTGCTACGGCACGACGACACTAGAATTTAATACATGAAATGAAGGCACAGGAATGATTGAGGCGACCCCTACTGTTATATATACAAAACGAGAACAGAGTCACTTGAAAGGCTCTTACTTGTTTTTGCAAATTTTGCAGAGTAATCAGTATTTATAGTCTCCAGGTCGAGGCTTATATCAACTTATATGAATGACATACTGATAGAAATAGAAGACATTGAAGAAATGAAACTCATAAACACAATGCACACAATTCAAATTGACAACTTTTAACAGCTGTGCGAGGTGGATGTTATGTTAATATTAGTTTAGAACTTTCCATGTGAGCTCATTACCATAAACAAACAGTGATATTTAACATCTGTTGTAGCCATTTATCTCATTTCTTTTTTATCACTACACAAAATTTCTCAATATCAGCTATGAAAAGTTTCACACTTTAGAAGCCGACTCTTGTTAGTATCTCATATTTGATAAAGTTTATGTAAATGACTTTACTGATCAGAATCTGAGATAAAAAGTATTAAAGTGATGTGGCCATCAGTTCAGTTCTTGGCGTGATCTTCAATGGGCTTCACCATGCAGCAAACACTTGTGTTCATATCTTTAGCTGCTGTTGGCAGTGCTACAATGATCTATCCAAAGATCGCGCCAACACCCGTTACGTTTATCTGTGCCATTGGCATTCCTGTCGGGGATCTTCCCTTCGAGACCGTCATCTCTGGCTACGCGCTGAGGATGCAGTACTTCCTGCCCAACAATGCGTCAGAGGTTACGAGCGTCTATCTGAGGCCCCAGCCGATTACGGACAGAGGCAACAATGGGAGTGATTTCCAATTGGGCTCAATATATCGGTGGATATTATACAATGGCATTGAGATGATTCTGGAGAAGATGAGTCTGTCTGGGCACAGCTGCCTGCTGCGATTGATCTGCGAGCACGCGGCGTCCCCCTTAAACCATGAGAGTGGCCTTCTGGGCGAGGTACTGCACATCATTCTGACACCTTCGCGCTCCAAGGATCACCTGAGTAGGCACAAGGATCATAGCTATCTGGCAGCAGAGCGCTTGGGCAGGCGTGGAGGCCACTGCGCGGCTGTCTTTGGCCTGAAATGTAAAAGATCGCCCCTAGACTTAATTAGTGTGTTAGTGTAATGAATTTAATTTTAAGAAATCAACATTTTTATAAACGGATAAAATTGCAAATTCATGCAATATTTAAATAATATTCAACCATTATTGATTATCACAGTTATCACAAATCTATGCCAATTGACTTTTGACTGACAACTGACATCTATCTAATGCAATCGATGTTGTTTGGGTCTCACGTGGGCGAAGGTGTGATAATTACATAGTTGATAAACATTTTAATTAGTTTTCGTACGGCCTGTGATTCGCATAGCAAGCAGCATCAATTGTAATTACGCATGCAAGCGATTTCAAGCACACACGACGTATGCGTAATATGCGTGCGATTGAATTTTGTGTGTGGGTGGGTGTGTGGGTGCGGAGTGAGCTGGCGGCTGTGCATGTCAGAGCTGTATATTACACTTAAATTTAAATAGTAAATACAATTTATATGAATTATGTGCCGACTACATGCATTTAATACAAATTCATTTCGACGCCTTCCTCATTAGGTCGACATTCAGAGCACGTACGTATCCAGCCAGCGCCGCTGACTGGCATGTCCTCATCGTAATGGGCTTAAATACTTTGGCACGCAATCGGCTTGTCCATGTGCATGTCCATGTCCAGAGCGCACACAACCGTAAAATAATTACACACACATTGAATAAAACGCGACATGAAACAGAAACAAATCAAACCCCGCTCGGCCTTAGCTCGCTTCTCTTCCTATCGGATGGGCGCTGCTTGGGCCGGAGGCGTGGCTGGACTAACTCAAACCGTTTGCTTTTGGCATTTCAATGCCGTTCGACCAAATGGATTTAATATTAATTAGCTGGCTGACAACGCAAGCGGCAAACCAATTGAGTAAAGTCCTTTTGTAAGGCATTGCGCATACGCTCTGTGGCCCCGGGCGACCTTAGCTCACAGTAAATTAAATCAAAATATTGCCTGGTAAACATGGGGCACAGCTTCATTTGTTGCGGTCTCAAACATATTGTTTGTGTTCATCCCAAAAACAAACATCCTTTCAATATTTTTTTAAACTTTCTGCTACATCAAAACAAAAAGAAAATCATATGATAATTGAATTCAAGCAATAGCAACAGCTAGTACAAAACTTCTCCAGCAGCTGGGAGCTCTTCCGGCTTGGTTTGCCAGCTGTAGCCACTCGTCTTCAATTTAGTCCTAGCCTGAGGGCACTCAAAGCAAGCCAAGGGGTAAACTTGTTTGCTTAATTATTTAGCCAAATGCAAATGAATTTCTCTCTGCCTTTGTGACCCATGTGAACACCGGCTCTCGAGTGCTGCACACTGAAATTCAAGTTAGTTTTTAATCATATTAGTCGAGAACAATGCCCACAAATAACTGACGAAGATTTAATGCTCTCTTAGCAAGTTGAAAGTAAGGTTTTTTTTTTAACAAAATCCAAGTTGTCACATATTTACCAACCTCATATAAATGTATTTTAACAAAAAATAAAAAATAATTATTTGTAATGAATAGTTCGTGAAATTATCTAAAGATCTTGAGTTCTACATATTACGAGTATTATAAAATACCGAACACTATAGACTGCATAATGAAAGTTGGATATATGGAGATGTAGCTCCTAGGCAGTGGAAGTATTTGATTAATCAACAGACAATATTCAATTTGTAGTTCCTTCTTATAATTTTAGGTCTTTTCCTACTGGTCTACAAAAGTTTAATTATAAATTATCTGAAATAAATTAAGCTTATTTTTAATTTCCGATCTTCCAAAAAGAGCGAAATTTTTATTAAGACTTCAAATTGATTTTTTTTTTTTTTGTTCTAAAACTTTAGAATACACCTTTCCGATTTTACTCAACATCAATTATCGTTGACTTATAAACTTATTTATTATTTACATGTAATGTGTTGTCGATACAATGTCTGTATATGTCTATTTTTTCGGGAAAATATTATTACTTGAATAAACGAAGTTATTAAGACGGGGTACTTAAATACGACAAGTCCTTTACTTCGTGATCAAGTATAAAGTTTAGTATTCGAAAAATGTCTTCACTTTAAATTTAAGTTTACATTCATTTCGAGCACTAGCACTAAACTGTTGAGCCTAACTAACATAACTGACGGGTCTGCGGCAATGTAACCTCACGTTTTAAATATCCCAACTCTGCCAAAATAGCTGACTGTGCTGAAAATCCTTTTACACAAACAAATTTTCTTGTTGGTCTGTCACAGTGGAGAGTGCGACGGTGTGTGTGTATGAGTGTGTCTGTGTTAGTGTGTGTGTTGTGTGTTTGTTGTCTGTCAAAGATTTGCAATTTTGCAGTGTGAAATTTATGGGCAGACGTTAAAGATAAACGTGCTGTCATTGATTAACGAGTCCTTGTCGAGCATTTCCGGCCATGGCTAGCAGGAATAACCGCACAGCAGCCACTATGCGATGTTCAGGTTGTGTTTTTTTTGTTTTGTTGGTCTCGGACGATATTTTGGAAAATATTTTGAGTGGAAATGATTGTGCCGAAAACTTAAAAGATAAAACCCTGGCAAAACGGAAGCGCACATAAATCAGTTAGTAAATGTGACTTCCTACTTTTGTCGAATACTTGACGCGCAACAGGGAGGCGGACACAGGACGACGCGTCGGTCCTGTCCTGCTCTGTCCTCTGCTGGGTTGGCCTAGCATAGCCTAGTCTGACCTAAGTGCTGCATGAGCGCAAGAGGTAAAAAGGACCAAAGTCCAATTGCAGCCAGTTGGGGGACTCTTGCTGTGCAAAGGACTGCGGCTTGGCTTAGCAGCACAGGAATGAAGAGGAGGAGACAAATCACAGGATGCCGAACACAGGAGGCAGGACGTAGGACTCTGAAGGAGTGCGCATAGATTGGCAACATTTGATGGCAAAAGTTACGTTCGCATTTATCTTTCGTGCAAGTGTCACTTGTGAGTTTCTTGAACCACAGCCAAAACGAGTAGTGCCGGAGATAAGGAGTAGGAGAGCAAAGGGCGCGGGGGCAACAGCAACAACAACAACAACGCAAACAGCACGTACCACTCCAGCAACAACAGCCAGAACAACAACTATTGCTGGCAGCTACAAAGTGGCCAAGATTCAATGTTAAATATTGTGGCACAACCTTTAAAATTGACTTTAAAAACTGACATTGACAAATGAGCTGACGCAGTGTCGGCCTCAGCAGTGGCACTACACCAGCACCAGCACCGGAACTGGAACAGGAGCACGCTCTACTCAGCGGCGCATTCAATAAACAATTGCCGCACTCAAAATGCAGAAGCTTAATTGTTGTTAATGAAGCACTCAGCAGTCGGCTTAAATGCTCGATAAAAGCCATCGAATAGTGCAGCAGTTCCCTCTGACTCTTATCGATGGGCGTAATTAAATCGTTGTGGTTCCTCTTGCCATTCAGCAAATGGCCCATAAGTGCCGCTCTCAATCATTTGGAACTTTCTTAATGAATATGAGAACGTTTATCATGCGTTTAAGAGGGGTTTTAATATTTTATTTATTATTTATTATTCTCAAAATAAAATTATTTAAAATAATTTGGTGTTTATCAGATAATAAAATCCATTTTCTGATTCGTCACGTCACCAGTTGATATACATATGTATGCATATATGTATTCTTTTTATGCAAATCAATACAGGATTTTATCAATAATATAATAATTAAATTCTTAGTTTCGAGTTATTCAAAGAGTGGAAAATAGTTTTTCTCTATATGTCATACTCTCAATGTGCGTAGGTATATTCGCTATATATTACAGAGTTTGGGCTATCATTGCAATTTCACATTCTTCACTTCAACTATCATGGTTTCAGAAATACCAAAAAAATTTAATTTTCAATTTTCAAAATACTAATTTTTCCATTTTGACTAACTAAACTTGTTTTGATTTACATTTAACAAAACTGTTAAAATTTTAAAATTATTTAATACTCAATAAAAATGAAATAAAAACAAAATTAAATTATTTTACTCCATCTTGTTAAAGTAAATTTGTATCTGGAAGAACGTTACGAAGTGATTTTTATTCGATAACAATGTCACACTGAATACATGCTAGTATTGATAGCTATCGATTATTTATCGATTCACACTTTGGCTGTTTCCACTTTGTACCCCCCTGCGACGCTTCGTACCCAAACTACCGCAATTGATTCACCTGCTGCGTCGTTAATTTCCGCTGCTTCAGTCGCAGCCCGCGGCAGTCGTTGTTAAGTTTTCTTCCGTTCTTGCCAATTTGCATGCATGACATGGTAATTCCCATTCGCAGATCCCGCCCGCAGACTCAGCCCGGCCCCACTGGGTAATTGTGTTGCATCGATGTAATGACAAAATGTTACAACCTGAGCGCAACGTTCGCCATTTGCGCGGTGCGTTGACAAATTGGCTGTCGCTGTCGCTGTCGCTGCCGCTGCCGCAGCTGTTATTGTTGGTCTACCTGGCATGTGTTTGGCGTGTGTTTGGTGTGTGTGCGTAAGTGGGCGTGCTTGTGGTAGACTGGGCGTTTTGAAGTTCATGCTTATGTTGCCGCCTCCCCGCACTAATACAAACACACAGATTTGAATGGCTTTTGCGTGCTTTGATTTATGTGGCTTTAAATAATTTACTATCAAGCACTTGACAGGATTGCCAACTCCTTGTAGACGCGTATCTAGGCTTGTCAGCTTAGCGTGAATTATGGCTCTGTATTTCAGCTGTATTGCAGCTCAGATTATCCGAAAACCCTTAACTATAAAGTAGACGTCGTTCAATTTGGCTGCATATCAGATTTGTCATTTTCTCTGACTTGCGATGTATTTGTTATTTAACAAGTGTATGAAAATATCTTGCTTATATAATATAAATATATTGTAAATCATATATATTATTTTATATCACATACATTTAAATTTTATAAAAATGATATTCAGTTGCGTAAACCTAAATTGATGACAATTAGCTGAATTCAATTAGGCTGACGCCGTTTCCAGTCTAATTAACCTTGCAGTCTGAGAGTTGGCTACAGTGT